AGAGACGAGAGAGGAGAGGAACTGAAAGGGGAAGGCAGGAGGAAATAGGAGATGAGACTGAGAGAGAAGAGTGCGAAGAGAGCGAGAAAGAAAGACATGAGATGAAAAAAGAGTTCGAGAGAGCGTCAGAAAGAAAGAAAAGAGAGACAGACAGAGAGAAAAGATGTTCGAGAGACCGGGAGTAAAGAAAAGAAAAAAAAAAAAATAAAAAAAAAAAAAAAAAAAAAAAAAAAAAAAAAAAAAAAAAAAAAAAAAAAAAAAAAAAAAAAAAAAAAAAAAAAAAAAAAAAAAATGAGAGACAGACAGACAAGAGAGAAAAAGAGTCTCGAGAGAGCTGAGAAAAAACAAACCAACAAAGAGAAACAGAGACAAAGAGACAAAGAGACCCCGACACCGAAACCGTTAGACTCGAATCGAACTTTTGAAACGCTTCGGCTCGCAGGCTTCGACCCCGCCGGGCTCGCGTGGCTTCTGGTCGGCGCCGCGTCCTTCGCCAGGATACTCACTCCTGTCCTTCTTTCGGTGGTTCCTTCCCCGCCTGGGCTGTGTCAGGGGGTGAAATTTATTCCGCAAGGGAGTGGAGATGATTGATGTTATATTTCATTTATTTATTTATTCATTTATTTTTTTATTTTCGTTATTTTTTCGTTGTCGTTTCTGTGATTCTTGTGGGTGTTATTATTATTGTCATTATCGCTCATGCTGTTATCTTTATCGTTGTCACTAACTTCCGCTACTTTTTTCTTTCTTTTTTTCCTCTTTTTCTTTTCTCCTACTCCTCCTTCCTTCCTCGTCTTCCTCCCCCTTCCCTTCTTACCCCTGCACCTCCTTCTCCCTTTTTCTCTTTTCTCCTCTTCTTCCTTTTCCTATTCATCTCCCCCTCCTATTTTATCTCCTCCTTCACCTTCTTCTTCTTCTTCCTCCTCCTCCTCCCCCTTTCCCTCTTCCCCTTTCGTCCTCCTCTTTTTTTTTTCTTTCTCTCTTCCTCTTCTTTCCCTCCCCCTATCTCTCTCCACCAACCACCATTCCTCTTCCTCCTCCTCCTCCTCCTTCCTCCTTCTCCTCCTCCTCCTCCCTTCCTCCTCTCCTTCTCTCCCTCCAGTTTCATCATGGTGTTGTAACTGAAAATCGGTCTTCATGCAACATAAAAGACACTTTAATACTCTTTGTTAGAGACTTTTCATTTTTTTTATTTTTTTAGATAAAATGTCATAAACCAAGTAAAGTTTTTTTTTTTGTTATAATATTTTTTTCGCACAAAATGTCATTTTTCAATTTATTATTATTTCTTTCTTCATCCGAGTCATAACATGTGTTTATAAAGACGCGGTGAAAAGGTTAATTTTTTTATAATAATTTATACAAAAAAATGTTTTTTTTATGATAATGATTCTCCGCACAGAATGTCATTTGTTCTTTTTTTTAAACATTTCTCTTTTCATCCGAGTCATAACATGTATTCTCAACGACACGGTGAAAGGGTTAAATTGGTAATTTTTTTATTTTCACGGCAGAGTAATTGGCTTCTTGTTTACATTTGCAAGATTATTAACAGCGCTGACATGCACATCAAACACCCCCTCCCCCCTCCCCCCCCACAAAAAATCTCTCCTTTGTCTTCTCTTCGACAATAAACCGCGATTTTCTATGGAAAGTGATTGTAAAAGGAATAATTGCGCCGTCATACGAAGGAAGAGAGAGAGAGAGAGGGGGGGGAGGGAGGGAGAGAGAAAGGAGGGAGAAAGGGAGAAGGGAGGGAGGGTGAGAGACGGACACACACACACACACACACACACACACACACACACACACACACACACACACACACACACACACACACACACACACACACACACACACACACACACACACACACAGAAAGAAAGAGAGAGAGAGACAGACAGACAGAAACAGAGAAGGAGAAAGAGAAAAAAAAGAGAGAAAACAAAACAAAACAAAAACAAAAGACGATCACATGTTTAGGATCCGAAACCAAACCCACAGCATCGCGGCGGATTCGAACCGCGAGTCGACGCTTCGCAAACACAAGTAAACAAGAGAGAGTCGAGGGAAAGGCAGATCTTGGGCTTTGTTTATAGGGGGGGTTGTTTATAGGGGGGTGGGGGCGTGGAGGGTATGTGGACATGTTTTATGTGTGCGCGAGCCTGGAAGTGCACACGTACAAGCTAAGTTTATACCACTTGGGTATGCTTTGCGCACAGGTACAGCGGACATACACACCCGCATGTACACACACACGAACACGCACACGCACACGCACACGCACATATGTATATGTATATATATATACAGACATACATACACATCTAGTTGTTATAGTATTTATTCTTGTGTAAGTGTATCTGGGGAGGGGGTGAGCACTCGGTATTTTTTTTTTTTATACCTGTTACTATAATATGTAAAAGTAATGTGTATATCCTGCCATAGCACATCCCAAGTAACATCCCGTATAATTTACAAAACTTATATATATATATATATTATATATATATACATACATATATTTTACATATATATACATATATATATTCCACCACCACCACCACCAAGCCCTCCCCTTCGCCAACACAACCACCATTAACCTCTCTTCTCTCCCTCTCTCTCCCCCAACAGCAAATTCGACCGCTACCAGCTGAGTCTCGGCCAGAAGAAGCACTTTCCCTTGATCATCAGCGCCTCAGAACCGCGCGAGGCCACCTTCGACGCTAACCTGGAACCTGGGGCCACCTACCAGGTCCTCGTGAAGACCGTCTCAGGGAACGTGGCTTCCTGGCCTCCAAAGGAACGTCACCACAGCGTGAGTAATTGGGCCGGGGGCAGGGGGTGGTGGGGGGAGGGGGAAGGTTAAGATCAGGAGCAAGGCGAGGAGGTGTCATGGCGTCTGATTCTATATATATATATATATATTTTTTTTTGGGAAAAGAGCACGTGGGGTTTATTTTGATGTCACAAAAGGTATCGGTTTTCAAAAAGGATGGAAAAGAATGATAATATTTCCACTGAACAATTATCAAAACAGACGCCATGACACTTCCTCCAGTTGCTACTGATCTAGTTTTTCCCATTGGACCGGCTGGGGTAATTGTCTTTTTGTGTGTTTGTTTTGTTTTTTTGTATGGTCTCTCTCTCTCTCTCTCTCTCTGACTCTCTCTCTCTCTCTCGTGCTCTCTCTCTCTCTCTCTCTCTCTCTCTCTCTCTCTCTCTCTCGTCTCTTTTCGCCTCCCTCCCTCCCTCCCTCCCTCCCTCCCTCTCCCCTCTCCTCTCCTTCTCTCTCCTCTCTCTCTCTCTCTCACCTCTCCTCTCTCTCTCTCTCTCTCTCTCTCCCCTCTCCTCCTCTCTCCTCCGTCCTCTCTCCCCTCTGCCTCTCTCCCCTCTCCCTCCTCTCTACTCTCTCCCTCTCTCTCTCTCCTCCTCTTCTCTCTCGTCTCCTCTCTCTCCTCTTCTTCTCCTCTCTTCCTCTCTTCTCTCCTCTCTCCCTTCTCTCTCTATCCTCCCTCATCCTCTCTCCCTCCCTCGCCCTCCCTACCCTCACCCTCTCTCCCACCTCTCTAGCCTCTCTCTTCTCTCATCTCTCTCTCTCTCATCTCCTCTCTCTCACTCTCTTTCTCTCTTCTCTTCTCCCTCTTTCTCTCATTTTTCCCTCTTATATCTAAATCTTTTTTCTCTCTTCTCTTCTCTCCTATCTCTCTCTTATTCCCTCCCGTCCTTTCTCCCTCCGTCTCTCTCTGTATCTTCTCTCTCTCTTCTCTCGTAGTCTCTGGTCCTATCTCTCTCCTCTCCTACTCCCCCTCCCTCTCTCGCGTCTCCCTCTTCCTCTCTCTCCTTCTCATCTCTCTCCCTCTCTCTGTCCTCTCTCTCTTCCAGCTCATCCTCTCTCTCTCTCTCTACCTCTTCTCCTTCTCTCGTCTCTCTCTCTTCTTCATTCTCATCCTTTTTCCTATTAAAAATCTCACCTGACTCCTCGCCATTAACTCTTGCAGCCCCAGACAAACATTTCAGATCAAAGCAGATTTTCTTTTCAATTGACATTTCCTGTCTGGGTGACATTTCAGCGAGATATGAACGAACAAATATCTTGCCTTGGATTTTGTGTGTGTGTGGTGGTGTGTGTGTGCGTGCGTGTGTGTGTGTTAGTGTGTGTGTGTGTGTGTGTGTGTGTGGTGTGTGTGTGTTTTGTTGTGTGTGTGTGTTGTGCTGGCTGTGTGTGTGTGTGTGTGTCGTGCGGGGTGCGTGGTGTGTGTTGTGTGTGGTGGTGGTGTGCTGTGTGTGTGTGTGTTGTGTGCGATGTGGCAAAAGTGTCAGCGAAGGCAAGAAACTCGTCTATACGTTACAACTGACGAGGTGGATTTCAACATGGTCGGGTCGCCATTAGTGGGGAGAAAAATTGTGCTCGTCTTTGTGTTGGGTGACGGGAAGTGTGTGCGTGTGTTTGTGTGTGTGTTGTGTGTGTGTGTGTGTGTGTGTGTGTGTGTGTGTGTGTGTGTGTGTGTGTGTGTGTGTGTGTGTGTGTGTGGTGAGAGAGAGAGAGAGAGAGAGAGAGAGAGAGAGAGAGAGAGAGAGAGAGAGAGAGAGAGAGAGAGAGAGAGAGATACAGTACAGATTCTTAACGCTTCTACATGCACAGTCTTTCACCATAAAGCCCACATACAGTATAGAGACTTTCCCTCTTCAACGCAGAAGTTCATATTGCAACAGACAATACGGTACAACACACACACACACACACACACACACACACACACACACACACACACACACACACACACACACACACACACACACACACACACACACACACACACACACAAAGCATTGCGTTATACGGCAAAGCAGAGGGTGTCCTTTTCGTACAGAATGGAGATCCGGCACATTATATGGATGACAAATGACAACTTTTATCATAGCTGTCAGGCAGTTAGTTCCAGCAGTGTCTTTAACATGTCGAAACACGTAGGGCCCTCACAGTCCTTTCTCTTCATCACCCTGGTCCTCCCAATACTCCTCATTAACTCCCCTTCAATCTGCAACAATTTAACCATGGTCCAAGAACATGCAGGACCAATACAGCAAGGAGAGAAAGTGGTGGTGGAAGGTCCAGGGATTTTGAAAGTACCTGTAGAGCGTTTTTTTTTTTTTTTTTTTCTTTTTCCGAATTTATTGCTTCCTGATCTTGGGAATTTAGAATGATTGGTGTGGGCTTTGCAATGGCCTTTCCGTCTGTTGGAGTGAGAGTGAGAGTGAGTGAGAGTAATGGGAGCCAGTCACGACCGTGGGTTATTGGTGACTTGACCTTGCTTGGGGGTGACTGGCAGACCGGGAGTGAAGAAATTCTAGACATCTTTTGTCACAGGTTGATGACAGGGATAAGTTATACCTTGGTGTTCTGTTTGGTGTCATTTTCTTGCTCCATTATCATTTAAGGGAATTTTTAAAGGTTTTACAGGTTCTTTATTTTATAGTACAAGGTCCTCTTGAAATCCATTCCATGCATGGTTAAAATTCTTTAAGAGAAGAACTTACTCTAGACATCAAATTGAGGTCTGTATGTCAGTGATTTTAAGTTATGACCTCATAAACCGTTTTTGGTCTTTACCTATTTTGTATAAAAGGTATGAATGAGAATGAATATCTTCAAAATACAAGAAATGTATTTGATCGGTTTCAAATATATCTTTGTCAGAAATACATCAGAAATTCATCATATATTTCTAACAAAAATATATTTGAAACCGATCAAATACATCTCTTGTATTGTGAAGATATTCATTCTCATTCATACATTTTATAAATTTGTCAACATGCATATGGTTAATTTTTCTCCTATTTTGTTCTATTTTGTCCTAATCTGACCTTTTTTGTCCCATCCTATTCTAACGTAACCTACTTGACCTAATCTAACCTGACTACGTCCATATCACAGCGACTGCATGGTCTCATCTCAAAGTATGCCCCTTTAATGAGTATGTTGCAACACTTCATGATTTTTTAGTCCTCAGCCCAGTTGGGAAAGACCTCGAAGTCTCTCAGTAATACTTGCCATTTAGATTTTATAAGTCTGCATCTCTTGTCCTCAGGTCCACTAAAGATTTTGGATCTGAGAAGAGAAGACGAGGAGTCCAGCCAAGAAGTGAAGTTGTCGTGGACACCAGACCCAACTTCAATTCAAGACAGTTATAAGGTTAAGAGCTTAGGCATTCGTCTTACTTAGTACCTGTGAAATATATAACAGAAATAGTAAGATGTTAGTCCTGATTCAGTCGTGCGGTATATCTGTACCAGAGGGAATGACATTGATGGTCAAAACTATATTATCTCCTTTTTTTTTCCCAGTAAGTTTGTTTAACTTCCAACGGTTTGTTCTGGCTCCTAATGTTCCGTGATCTTTTCCTTACAGATTTTGTACCAGGAGGTAGAAGCTTTTAACGGAGATGCACGCACTAGGACCACCACAGAAGAAATGGCTACAGAAAGTCTTTATCCTGGAAGAAATTACTCTGTTTCTGTTGCTGCTGTGTCTAATAACATAGAGAGTGAACACATGTCGCTTTATGTTGCTACTAGTAAGTGCATACTATTATGATTCTTGAAATTAAAGTTTTGTGGTGTATATGATTGCTTTATACTTACTGTGCTGTAGTATGGACTCTAGTTATTTAAATGAAGATTGATAAGACCTGTATGTATCTATGCAATAATTTTTCATCAGAAACAGAATGGATCTAACAGATTTTTTCCCACAGAACCGACATCCCCAATTATTGAAATGCAGCCGATTCCCCATGGCCTCGACATTTCCTGGAAGAGTGATGATACCTCCCGTCAGGATGGATATGCAGTTGTTCATGTTAGAAATGACACAGGTAAGGATATCTCTTGCTAATGTCCTTGGCATCAGGTTATAGAAAATAATGAGTACCTGTGTTTAACAAATTATAGCCATAACAGATTTTAAAACATTAGTGAGACACCATATCGCTTAAGGAGAAATTTGATTGCCAATGGAGATTTCTTCTGTAAGATGACAGGAAGATACTATAAAGAATAACTAGAGATTTTAAATTATATTATTTTCAGCTGAAGCAGCAATTCAGGAATTATATCTATTGAGTCTTTTTTAAATTTTTATTAACTGTTTCTCTTCTATCCTCAGGAGAATCAGTTACCCGTAAAACAGGGAAGGAACGCATAAAGTTGGAAGACCTGTTCCCTGGTGCTAGATATGAGATTAAGGTCTATGCTATATCTCATGGTCTGTGGAGCGAACCTCATGCTCATTTCCACGTAGTGTGTAAGTCCAATTGCTGTGCTGTGTGGTTATCTATGTCTAATGATTTGATACTAACACTCCATACTTATATTGGATACACTTCAATTTATGGCAAATAATTTTGTTCTCTTGTATGTATATTGAATTACATATTAACCAATCAGTGAAGCTAAAAGCACAAGAGCACTGGCTTACAGGTGTAAAACATAATCAGAAGTATACATTATGTAAGATGTATTGATGTTGTTTTTTCATTACAGATCCAAACCCTGTACGCAACCTGACAATTAGTTCCGCCACAAACTCCACTGTGATCCTTTCTTGGCTGCCTCCAATTGAGTCATTATTCTCACATTACAATATAAGGTTGGTGGTCGTGATAATGAGTTCCTAACTTATAATCCAATTGTTTTAGCATTATGTTCTGTTGTGTTATTCTGTCTCAAGACAAGCAAGTGGAAAGTACATGAGAAAATGAAAATATGTGCTTTAGGTGTTCCTGGGTCTGGAAAAGGCATATAATGGAGATTAAACAGAGAGACAGTGTGAAAGATGCTGAGTATGTATGCTGTTAGAGAGCAAGAAAGAGCTTCTCTAAGAAAAGTGGAGCATGAGTAAGACTGGAAAGTAGGTAGATTCTTTGGTTTGAGGCTATAATAGGGCTATTTACTGCATATGGAGTAGTAAGGGAGGTGAATATAAAAGTTTTAGGAAGGTTAAAACTGCCAAGTGAAGCGGTTTTTATACCTGTTCCTTTTTTATATAGACACAACAATCGCATCTCAATCAAAAGGAAAATTAGATTAAATGCTGTGCTAGTTGGGGAGAGATAAAAAATTAAGGGCAATGTGCAAAGATGGCAGAAGGCTGACAGTGAAACTAGACAAGAAAGTAGTGAAAGATGTGAAAAGTTTAAATACTTAGGGTCTCAATTATCAAGGAATAGGAGTATATTGTATGGAAGAGGCAGAGGCAGTTATGGATGAAACTACAAATGAGACAAGAAAGGGTCCATGCAATGGTGTGGTTGTACAGACATGCACATACAAATACAAACACATGCACTTATGCTACTGTTTTTTTTAATATTTTCCGATTATTATATTGACTCTTATGATTACTTTTAAATATATAACACATGGAATTGATTTATTTATGAACATAATTTTACCATTATTTCTTACACTTCTTTTGATTATAATTACACCATTGACAATAACATGAATGGAATGAATCCAGAGAAAGATATCCCACATTGTCTTTATTCACATGTTCTATATTGTCACCACTTCCTCCCACACACAGATACCGCCCCGTAGAAACAGGAGATTGGATCGTGTTGCCTCCTGTCAATAAAACCTCAGTTGTCATTGACAGCCTGCAGCCTGGAGAGCGCTATTTGATCCAAGTTCGTTCTGTCTCTCATAATGTAGAAAGCTTCACCCCAGAAGGAGTTGAGCATACTGTTCGTAAGTAGAAGGCAGATTTTCTGTGAAGTTGATATTTTATGTGTATATAGATGTAAGATAGGTGGAAAGATGGATCAGTACAGATATGTATTTCCATTAATTTTGTCTCTTGATTTGTAATGTGTCTGTATCATCAGGTAATTTATGCCTACATATTTTATTGTCATAGAATTTTGACATTATAGAAATAATATTTGATATGAGTTGATAATTACTTTTGCTTGAATGATAGGTCACTTTCTAAGTTGTCAGCACTAATTAAGTTTTCTGTAAGTATTATTAATAAGTTTACATTTTGCCTCAATAGGTAAAATAAAAGAAAAACTGTTTTAGAACAAAAAAATATCATTGGTGATTAGAGCCTCACTTTATCTGTGGCACTCTTTCCCTTCCAGCACCAAACCCTGTGACAGGAATCACACCAGTACTTGATTCCCACAACATAACCCTGGAGTGGCCCAGACCAGACGGCAGACTAGATACGTATACCATTATTTGGTGGAGCAATTTTACACCAGATATAAAGGTTAGATTTTTTTTTCTTAGTTCTTGGTGGTTTTCTTGTTAAATGTATCAGTTTTTTTTTAATGTCATAACTGAAAGTACTTATGTATACGAGAGAATTACAGATGCTTTATATGTTAAGGAGTCTTTTGACCTTCAGAATTCTGATATATATTTAAATTGATTCCTTTTTCAGCATCGCAAGGAGATACCTGGTAGCCATGCAACAGAGGGTATAGACCGAAAATTGTCCATTGTGGTAGACAAGCTGATGCCTGGAGAGCTGTACCATTTCAAGATTTATACTACAGCACATGAAGTGAATAGTGAGGTGGTGGAGCTCTCAAGTAGAACTAGTAAGTATATAGCTTCATGGTTTCTACATACCCTAAGATATTGGAGAAAATAAGATTGGCCTTTATTCATGCATACCCAAAATCATAGAAAAGTTATGAAAAATTATTATTCTAACAAACAATGGAGTAAAATGGAGATATTATCTTATTTTTACAAGCTATTTGACTCATCGCTGCTTTTGAGAACTTTGGTATAACAAGAGCAAACACCTTTACTCTTTGACTGTCCTCATTAGAGCCTCGAGGCCCATGATTTACCTATAAAGTCAATTACCCTTTTAGTGACATGTTTTATGATACTGGGGAAGGAAAGCAACTAGCACTATTTGCAGTTCCTTCTATGAGTAAGGCTTATCAATGGAATTTTTGAATGGTAAAATACTAACACGTGATTGCAAGTAGACGTGCATGTATTATTTTTAATCTAATTTAGCACTTTTATGAAACTGAGAACATCATTTTATTTCAGTACCCCGCATCACATCTGACATCAGAATTGGGCATCAGCCAGAGAGCAGATCGATGACCATTATATATACACCAACGCCCAAAAATGACTCTTCCTTTGACATGTACAGATTCATGTTGTCTGACCCTTCCATATCCGTGAAGGAGAAGCCTGCAGATGATAAGGATCGTAAGGTAATGTTTACCCATGTAAATCAATAATTTCCATACAAATATTAAGAACTGTTCATGTCACATTGGAAATATATATCAATTAGGATACTTGTTGTGATATTTTGATATCAAGCAATAACCATTTCATATTTTTAATGTGAATTTGATGATGTGAAGCATTTACATATTAAACCGATGTATTTAATGTGCACCAGAAATCCTCCATAAAGTTGAATTCACATGGAATTACCTATTATTAACTCCTCATGATCGCTTTCAGATTGTCTTTAATAATCTGGTGCCTGGACGGATGTACAACGTCACGGCCTGGACAGTGTCGGGAGGGGTGACCAGCCTGCCCCTCATACGACAGGATCAGCTCAACCCCGAATCTGTGTCAAACATCACTGCTGGTTATATCTCGGACACAGAAATTACCTTGTCCTGGAACAAACCGGCTGGGGATTATGATGTATTTGAGGTAGGCAGAGCATGCATTTTTGTTTGTCAGAGTGTATTTGGTATATTTGTTATGTGATAGTTAAATTGTTGTTAGAATTTATGGTAATTTCATACTATTGATGTTATTTATATAGCTGAAAGTAGAATAAGTGTTTTTTTTATGGATAAATTTTTTCAGGATGTTTATTATCATCATCTTCTGAGACATGCTATTTTTGTTATTGATTTTATTATTTTCATTTATTATCAGTCATTATTATTGATAATGTGTTATTTTTATTATAATCATAATAATAATAATAATTATTATTATTGTCATTATTATTGATAATGTGTTATTTTTATTATAATCATAATAATAATAATAATTATTATTATTGTCATTGTTATTATTATTGATATTGTTATTATTACTAATGTTATTATTATTGTTGTTATTGATGAACGTAATATTCTTGTTATTATTATCATTATTATTACTGTTACTATTATTGTCATCATCATTATTTTTTATTATTGTTATTATTATAATTATTATTACTCTCTCACCTCATGAAGTATAATTGTTACAAAAATCCATTAACAACTGATTGTCTTTATCTTCCCTAATGTCCACAGGTCCAGTATCTCCGTGACAATGAGCTCTTAACCACAAACACCACGAAGGATTCCGTCACTATCACGAAATTACGACCACATCACAACTACACCTTCACAGTCCTCACTTGGGCAGGAAGCACAAGGCAGTCAAATTCTGTGTCGGCAACTTTCACCACAAGGGAGAGCGCTCCTGGGAAGGTGAGTTGAGCCGGGATCCTCTGGGACTTCTGGATTTTCTCTTTCTTCGAGGCTCTGTGTCTTTCACTCTTTCTTTATCTGTCTTTCTCATTCTCTGTATATAGATATATTTTTTCTGTGATCTTTTTTTTTTTTTTTTTTTACTTTTCTTTCTTTTCTTTGTTTATTTTCTTTCATAGATCTCTCTCATCTCTCTCTCTCTCTCTCTCTCTCTCTCTCTCTCATCTCTCTCTCTCATCTGTCTCTCTCTCTCTCTCTCTCTCTCTCTCTCTCTCTCTCTCTCTCTCTCTCTCTCTCTCTCTCTCTCTCTCTCTCTCTCTCTCTCTCTCTCTCTCTCTCTCTCTCTCTCTCTCTCTCTCTCTCTCTCTCTCTCTCTCTCTCTCTGTCATGCATATGCATTTGCAAGTGAAATTAAAATCCTTTCTCCATTCTTTCCAAAAACAGGTGAACAGATTTGAGGCAACCATTATGAAGCCAAGCGAGATAACATTCAGCTGGTCTTTGCCATCGGAAGAACACAATGGTGTTCTCTTGGGCTACAGGATCAAGTATAGAATCAAGGTAAGAAGCCATCATGTTGCTCTGGGACTAGATATTAGAAAAAAAAAAAAAAAAAACGTCTCTCTAGTAGATACAAGTATTGATTATTCATATTGATTTGTATTATTTTACACGTTTTTTTTTCTTATTCCAGGGTTCCGAAGTTGCCCATGAGACGCACTTCGCAGCCAGTGAAGAGTCAGGTGTCATACAGAATCTAATCCCAGGAGAGACCTATGTTTTCCAAATAGAAGCCATGACCAAGATTGGTTCTGGACCCATCAGGCACTTGGAAAAGACCATGCCTATTGGTGGTATGATTTTCTCACTTTTTTTATTTTGCTTGCTGTTTTTTTATGTCATTTGAATGTTTGGAAAGTATGCTTTTTGGTAGGACTGTTAATGCAAGAAGATACTTTTTATTTTGTGCAGTACATAACAGATGCATCTTTCTTGAAACTGCATAATGTATAGTTGATTCTGTTTATACAGGGTGAATATATCAAAATTATGACTACTTTTTAAGAAGAGGGTTTAATAGGAAGTTAAATTTGAAAAGCAAGTGTTTAGTAAACCACTTGAGAGAAATATTACTATAAATACACATTATTGGAGCATAGATAGTTGATCATGTATCTTCCCATTTTTCCCATCATTTTCAATAAGAGCCCTTTATCCTTTCTCCTTTCTCAGATCCCCCCCAGCCAGGTCCTCTCGAATTCCCCACAGAGGTGTCACATACCGCAAACACCATTCGCATTCGTTACCGGAAGCACTACTTTTCCGACAAAAACGGGCAGATTATAGGATACACCATCATTGTAGCTGAAGATGACACCAAGAGTTCCAGAGGGATTGAGTTGCGTACCTGGAAGGATGTCCAAAGTTATCCCTTGTGGCCTCCATATCAGGTAATCAAGAAAGTTGATGGTTTGAGTGCTTTTTGTCCACCCTATGTCTTTATACCTTTATTGGCTTTATTTCTCTGTTGCACAAGGATTTAGTTAGATATTAGAATATGTAAAGATGTGCGATGTATAAATGCTTGAAAACTTGAGGAGAATATACTATGAAAATGTAAATCTGGTGAGGAACATTTTGTGCAATCAGATGATGTCCTTTTTGAATAGTTAAGGATTTAAGAAGATATTTAAGAATGATGCCATAGACATATGGAAAGTTAAAGCCTGTAAGCCAAAAAGTTTGTGGCTTCATTCATTTTGTATTTCCTTCTCTAATTTTTTTCTGGCCATAGGTCACAGAACATTACTATCCATTTGTCAACACATCAGTGGAAGACTTCGACATTGGTGTTGAGGAGGATTGCGAAACTCAAGATACCTACTGCAATGGGCCGCTGAAGCCAGGAAGTACATACAGAGTAAAAATCCGAGCCTATACAGCAGCGAATAAGTTTGCTGACACCTACTATAGCCACCCAATCACGACAGGTTAGTCATGCAGTGGTACAATTTAAGATTTAACTGTGCATTAACAAAGAAGGCCTGTTAGATTTCTTTAATACCTTTCACGAACAGAAATACTGAAGAGTTAAATTTTTTTGTTGGGCAAGTTTTGATACCTATTTTTGGAAGTCAGCAAAAAGTTGGAAGAAATTTTTGAGACATGGAATGTGAAAAGATGATTTTGTTGCAGATTCTGCAAGTGGGAATTTAGGATTGCTTGTAGCCATTCCTGTGGTATTTGTGGTGCTGGTGGTGATAGTGGCAGTGGCTATAAGACAGCGAAGGGCATGCAAGTCAACAAGAAAGACTCCCGATCAACTTAGCAATATTCATCCAATGCCAGATTCCATTAGAGAAACAAGGTAAGCCACATGCTCATTAACTCTTGGTGAAAAGAAAATTAATAATATGTGTTTGAGATAGTTGAAGAATTAAACATTTTGATAATATATGATTTTTTATTTATGTTATGTGTGTCTGTAATATAAATATGAGGGTATGAGATTCCAAATTAATTTTAACATATTTTATTTTATTAATACCCAAATGGGCTTAAGGGGCATCCTCTTTACTGCCCCAACTTTGAGCATAGCTGGTGTCAAGTAAAAACCTGGGAAGGGCCTGGCTGGATACAAACCCAGGACTAGCAGATGCAAATCCATGGAGATAAACCACTTCCATGATTATATATCAGTTAGGACAATTCAAAATTGCACACTTTTTTTTTTCCTCAGCCGACCTGTAAAGCTGCAGGACTTTGTGGCCTACTTCCGATTCATGGCAGCTGATTCGGATTACCACTTCTCTGAAGAATATAAAGCTCTACAACATGTTGGTCGTGATATCCCACACAACGCAGCTGACCTCCCTGTCAATCGGCCCAAGAATCGGTTCACAAACATTTTGCCGTATGAGCACTCTCGTTTTAAACTGCAGTCCACTGATGACGAGGAGGGATCCGATTATATAAATGCAAATTATGTCTCGGTAAGCCTTTTTTATACATCTTTCCTTTAATGACCAAAATTAAATTAGCATTATATAACTGAAGGTAGCTTGAAAGTGTCTAGTTGTGATTTTATTTATTTATTTATTATTATTAGTTTTTTTTTTCCTCACTCCATTTTTTATGAGAAAAGAATAGGTCTTAGCGTTATGTGATGATAAAGTAGATTACCCCTTTTAGAAGATAGTGTCATCTTACATTTCAAAATTAAGAAAAAAAAAAAAAAAAAAAGAAATTTAAATTCATACAAAGCATATGTTAGTGATGGCTAATGATACCAAATATAGATTTATTAAAGAAAAGAAATCATAAAAAATAAGATAGAAATGAAAATATGAAATTGACCACTCTTTTGTAACATGAAATATTAATAGAACTAACCTTTCCAGGGCTACAATTCTCTGCGGGAATTCATCGTAAGCCAGGGGCCTCTCCCATCTACAAGGGATGATTTTTGGCGCATGTGTTGGGAGAGTAATACCCGAGCCATCGTCATGTTGACACGGTGCACAGAAAGGGTATGGATAAACCTCAGATTTATTGCCTTTTTCTTCAGCATAAGTTTGGTTACTCTTGTCTCCCTTTTCCGTGTTTTGTTTCCATATATATTTGCAACTGATTTGAGGATGTTTTGAATATATATAAGTCAGAATATGTACATTAGAGAGAGAGAGAGGGAGACAGAGACTGACAGGAAAAGAGAAGAAATGTGTATGAGTAATTTTTCCTGATATCTTGAGTTTTATTTAAGAAAAAAAATTCCCTATGTAGGGCCGTGAGAGATGTGATCACTACTGGCCATACAACATGCAGCCTGTCTACTATGGAGATATTCAAGTGACAATTCTGAATGAGCGCTATTTCCCAGACTGGAGTGTCACAGAATTCAGAGTCTGCAAGGTATGACATTTTTCAGATATTATGTTGTTGTTGTTGATTTTAGCTGAAACCTGACCTTGTCCCACCAACCATGCAGCCAGGACATCAGATTTGACCAAAATAAAAATTTGTTTAAGATTTCATTAAAATAAAGTTACAAGATAGAACTTATAATTATTTTTTTTGTGGCTAATGACCAATGATTCTCATGCTGCTAAAGATAAGAAATAAAGGAAAAGATCATTATTGTTAGATTTGTCACATATAACCATTATTGTACCTAAGGTTTCAAATGAATAAAATTGCCTAGCTTCTCCTCATAATATAAAAAAAAGTAAAAGAGTGAAAATTAATCAAATGATTTTAATATCACCTTATTACCTAACAAATAATATGGCAGATTCATATGCTGATACATAATGACCAAACTCATGTGCTGTCTTCAGGGAGAAGTTCGCCGCATGATTCGCCATTTCCACTTCACAACTTGGCCAGATTTTGGAGTACCTGATCCTCCGCAGACGTTAGTCAGATTTGTGCGTTTCTTCAGGGAAAGAATTGGTGCAGATCAAAGGCCAATTGTTGTACATTGCAGGTTGGTTGGATATGATTTGAGTCTATATTGTATGGTTTTATACAGACACAGCTTTTATATTTGTTATGATTAATATTATTATTATTATTTTATTTTATTAATTTATTTTTTAAATTAATTTTTCATTGTAAAAGACTGAATATATAAGGAAGAGTAAATAGTCAAAGTAATAACCTATTGCGTCAAAAAACAATTTCTTTTCATTTCAGTGCTGGTGTAGGACGATCAGGAACTTTCATCGCTTTGGACAGAATACTGTTCAGCATAAGAACAAATGACTATGTGGACATATATGGTATAGTTTATGAGATGAGACGACAAAGAGTTTCCATGGTACAAACCGAGCAGCAGTATATATGTATTCACCAGTGCCTTCTGTCTGTCTTGGAAGGAACGGAAAACGAACATCCCTTAACTGAGATTCATGATAATCAGGGTTACGAAGGTAAGTTTCATGTTCCTGAAGCCTCTCAAGTTGTTTGATATATGTGGATGCATACGTGTCTATCATATCGTTTTTAATCTTGACTATTACTATTAACAGAATTTGTAAGGCTCACATAACATTGATGTTAAGCATTAGATTTAGTACAAGTTCAACAGTGCATATAATAATAGTAATTAAAAGTTCTATAGTACCTTTTTTTCGTTAATGGAATTCTCTTACTGGCCTAGGACTGAATGGGATATTGGTGTCAGGAATTTCACCGAAGCAAAGATGATTGCCTTTGCCTCAGCCACTGATTTCTATGGTTATTGGGCAGCTGTCTCTTAGAACTTTGTGTTCACTTTGGTAATAGATGGATATTTGCATGCATATGTTGACCACATAATTTTGGTAATTAATGCTTGTTGTGAACCTTTGTAGTCAACTAATAGCTCTGTTAGGCCATGCGCTTGTTCCTTGATTAGTTCCTAGATGCAGAATTTGATTTTGAGAATAATGGCCTTGTAAAATACCTAAATAGATTTATCTGTAAAATTTTACCCTATGAAATGTTTTTAAAGGCATAAGAAATATCACTGTGCAAGGTTATGTTGAAAATGCAATTTTTTTTATCTTGTACTTTGTAAGTGCGATTATATTGAAGACTCAGATCGGCAGTAAACGTTATCATCGTATTATGAGCAAGCATTATGTATTGACATAGAGTGTAAAGTTTAATAATGTTTTTTCTTTACTTTTGTCAATCCTTTCACAATGCAACATACACAAAGACACTTGAATATACAGTAGATACCCATTTACTGTATTTGGTTAATGATCAAACATATACAGATTCTCTGCCATGATTACAAAGTATTATCTGTAATAGATTGTCCTAGTAGATTAAAAAAAATGTATTTCCAGTTCCATAGTTTACAGCATTCTTGCATCTGCTCTGAAATATGATAGAATAATGATTGAATTTCAAGTCTTTTGTGCAGATACTGTATTCTCACTAAATTCCCTAAGAATGGAGGAATGCAATTTCAACATTTAAAGGATAGTAATAGAAAATTGCTCTAGTATCTAAGCATCCTTGCTGTAATAAATTTATGCACTGCTTATTAGCTGCCCTTGAGAGAACCATGATATAGCTGGTACTTGATAAAGGAAAAACGGAATAACATAGGAAATAGTTGCTATTGTAATAACCATGATTCAATGAGTGCCTTTAACCAATATGTCACTCAGTTGAAAAAGTCATGCTGAGCATGTGACGTTGCTCAGAGTAAGACATTTGGAGAATCATCTCTTGAAAAAAAAGTGAATGAGTGTCTGAGAGAGTGAGTGAGTATCTGAGTTGGTGAGTGAGAGAGTGTCTTTGAGTGTGTGAATGTCTGAGAGAGTGAGTGAGTGAGTGTCTGAGCGAGTAAGTGTCTGAGAGAGTGAGTGTCTGAGAGAGAGAGAGAGAGTCTGCGTGTGGAAGAGCGAATTTGTGAATGTATGTGCATGCATGCGTGAACATTTGAATGAGTGTGCGTATGCATATTTATGTGATTGTATGTGAGGGAGATCAAGCTCAGTATTCTGTTTTTTTTATGTTGGAGAGTTGGAAATGCATCTTGTAAGTAAACAGACAGTTAGGTTGAATAAAACAATAAATAGCATTGTAACCTAAACTCGGGTGTACGAATGAAATGAAAAGAAAACAAGAAGCTCAAGTCGCTTGGGATATATTTTTTTTCTATATTTGTAACACACCCTTCTCCAAATTTATAATATGCAGATGATGCTCACAGAATTTATTAACAAAAATAGAAGAACAGCTTTCCAGAATATGTTGTATGCAACAGGATAAAGTTTTGCTGAAATAGACTCATTTGCAAAATGTATCCATGTATGTTTTTGTAGTGTTAACAGTTTAACATACAGAGCTCGTATCATTAACAACCCCTTTTATTTTTTGTTTTTGATCTTGAATTTATTTATTTATTTATTTTTGTATTTATTTATATATTATTATTTTTCAATAGTTGAGAAATGTAGTTTCATAAATGCGTATACATGTTAGATATGATGTAACCAGTGCATGATTTGTTGAAATGTCCCTCAGGATTGATTCACGACAAAGCAGAGTGGTTATCAAGCTAATTCTATTCATACCCTTTTAAAGTCAATTATTAATTATAATTCCTTTGATTTACTGTTTCATCATCTTACATACTAGGAGTTTGAGTTTGAAAAGACACTTTACTCTAATGCAACTGGTTCAATGAATAAGTTTTACTGGCATGCTTCATGTACTGTATACGTTAAACTGCTTTTCTTTACACAGATGATGAAGGAATAGCCGAGTCGAGCATGTGACAGGAGGCGTATGGGTTGCATTCCCTTGCAACCTATACAAAGTATGGAAATGACGTGACTTTGGCAAAGAACAGACCTTGAAGATGCGTTTATCAGAAGGAATCTCCATGGAAGTGTGTACAGAAAACTATATTTTTATAGTAATTTATCTTAACTATTCCAAACTTTATGGTTTGTTATCAGACTTCAGTCATATATATATGTATACAGTATATAACAGTGTTATATATGTACTTATGTATGTATGTGTATATATACACACTTGTCACCTTGTATGTCAGTGTATGTTCGGCGTTCAATTTATCAGATTAGATTTAGTATAAAAACTTCATCAGTATTTTTTCCTCTTTTTTCTGAACTGTAGACAATTCTTGTGCCACTTACAAAGTAACTACGGAATATATACTGTATGGTATTCAAAATTGCTTTTGATATTATTATGTAGTAGAGCATATCAAATTACTTCTTGGAAAAAAGTGTGTTTCTATGAACTTTGTGTAAATATATTGTAAAGAATGTAAAAAACAAAAATAAGAAATCATATTATTAGTAGATTAATATTACCTTTTGTCTTATACATACTTATAAGATTTTATTTGTGAGGGGAAGCGTAATTGATAAGATAAACGAAGGTGCTATCGTATCTGAGATTTTTTTCTTTAATAAGAAAGCAGGAGAAACTAAATCCGTCCTAATTTTATTTCACTTCGCTTTGATTTCCTTTCAATGATTAGTTTTATGGTATCTTTTTTTTGCAAACATGCTATATGTATATCTTGAATTTTCTTAATTTTTCTTCAGATGTGTTTTTTTTTTTATGTGTATATTGCCAACAATTGTCCTCATGATTTACCTCATACTGTCTATGAGAGACATCATTATACCTATATAGTAATGCTTATATAGATAAGCCAGAAAACATTTGCATAATTGTGAGTTCAGGTGAATATTCCATTGTTGAATGTGAATGTAGGGGATTACTGTACTGACTGGTAAAGTGAAAGGCAGAGAGGAATGCTCAGCAAAGAATTGGCTTTTTGAAAGATGAGGCAAGTTGAGGGAATAGTTAAAAGATTGGGATTACACATGACTTTATTGGGACCACAAGAAAAGCAGTGAATAACTGTATCCGATTTCTTTTGATGTGGTTTGTGTAGATTATGTGTGTAAGTGTATATTGATTTTGTATTTCTGTTTTGCCCCTTTCTTGTAATCCTGTGAT